CATTGTGGTGGGTGCCTGTAGTCACAGCTACTTGGGAGGCTGAGGCAAAAGAATCGCCTAAGCCCAGGAGTTGGAGGTTGCTGTGAGCTATGACACCGTGGCACTCTACCCAGGGTGACGGCTTGAGGCTCTGTCTCAAAAAAAAAAAAAAAAAAAAAAAAAACCTAAGGTCCTAAGAAGAGTAATGTTAATATAAAGAGCACACGACACCCGGGCACTATTAACTTAATCCCTACTTCTCCTTGTACCTGCTTCTCCAGTGTGAAAACTTTCATAATACTATTCACTGAGTGCCAAGCCAAGTATCTTCTAAGTACGTAATTATTTAATCCTCATACCTATCAGTCCTAGGAAGTAGGCGCTACTAACAGTTCCCTTACAGTTGGGTAAAACGAGGCTGGGAAGATCAAGTTGTCTAAGGTTACAAAGCTTGGTTAAGTCACAGAACCAAATTTAAACCTGGATCTGGCTGACGCCAAATCCCATCCTTTTTACCCAACCAGTCTTTCTCAATCCTGTGCTGCACCATTCAAAGCAGAGGTGACTTAAGCACTTAGGGCGGGGGTTGGGGGCGACTTGGGAATTACTCTGATCTTAATCGGGTGCAAAAAAAGGGAGTACTCCACTCGGCGGACTCAAATGGATGACTTTTTCATTCCAAACAGACAGTTGAGGGCGGGGAAAGTCTTAAAGGGACCTCTGACATCTAAGTCCCTTCTCCCTGTAACAGTTGGACGCAAGGTACTCAGGGATTCCCCCCTTGCCCAGCTCGGTGAAGGTAACTGCCTCGAGCCCCGCTCGTCCCGCAGGTGACCCCCTCCAGCCACCAAGCCCGGGAGGCCGCCCCGCCCCTCTCCCGTGCAGCCCCACCCCCTCCCAGCCCACCCTCGCCCGGGGCTGCCCAGGGCGCTAGTGGACTCACCTTCGTCCGACTCATGGCCCCGACAGCTGCGCTCGTCGTCCTCGGCGCTCTCCAGCTCTTCGTCCTCCTCCGGGTAATACTCCGGAGCCGGCGGCGCTCCAGCCGTGGCCGGAGCCGGAGCCAACAGCCCCGCTGCACTCATGTCGCCTCTGGCCACAGCTGAGCGCGTCGCCGGGAGACCGCGGCCACCCGCCCTAAGGACTCCGCGTCCGCCGAGCAGCGCCCGAGAGAGCCCCCAACTCGAGGAGCGGGAGCCGCGGCGACCCCTTCCCCGTCTCCGCCGAGCTCCGCCCCCCGCGCCCGCGCTCGGCAACCGGGGCCTCGCCCGGCGGGCGACTTCCGGGTCGCGAGCTGCCCGACGACGGCCTGACTCCGCCATTCTTCAGACGTCCCCTTCGCCGCAGCTTCAGCCCTTTCATCGCCGTCTTAAAATCCTCACTGGGCAGTAGGGAAGGGACGGAGGCGGACTCTCCAGAGTTAGGCAAAGCCGCGGGCAGGCCTGGCTGTGGTCAGGACCCCAAGCACGAGGAGACTCCCGGAAGCAACCGCCAGGCGGCGCCTGGAGCCAGAACTAAAGGAAAGACCGTCTGCCACTTGAGGGGCGGGGGGCTTGACGGTTCTTGGCAGGTGAAGGTGATCTCTGAGCAAGTGCCCGGCAATAACCGTCCCCTTAGTAGGTCAAGAAAGCTAGACATTCAGAATGTGCGTGATTGTGTGGGGGAAAGGGAGCCTGTTTCTTCCCCTAACTACTTGAATCTTCATTAGGAACTAAAAGACAAAGATGCTGATATCTTGGGGTTGAAGCAAAGCAGTATTTTCCCAATCCTGGGGAATTTTTTTTTTCCTGTTCATATACGTTTGTATGATAAGATGTTCTCTTAATTTTACAAATGAGAAAAAGATCCCTTCTGCCTAAAAAAAATAGTAGCGTCCAATCTAGACTTTTGAGATTCGGGCCCTCCACAGTACAGCTGCTGCTTATTTCCTTGCATACTTATTTTTTAAAGGATGTTTTTTGCCTGATCCAGTAGTTTACTAACTAACTCTCAATTGAGCAACGGGAGCATTTGCCTACAGAAGTAATTTGGCCAAAGGAAGGAAGGCCCATGTGGAAACTCAGAAAACAAAGACAGCTGAATATTTGCATTAATTTCTGGGGACCCTTGTTCTAAAAAAGGAACAAATTTAGGACGTCCCTCTTGCTGAGAGCTGTGTGGTCTACTTTTGCATGTAGCAAGAAAACAGATAAGGAAAAGGGACCAGAGATGGTTAATGGCTTGTCCAAAGTAACCCCACTCTTTACCTTTTTTAGTTTCAGATTAATATGAGGGTACAAACAATTCGGTTACAATGTTTGAGTTTGTTAGGTAAGGCCCTCCCACTCTTTATCTTGGACCCAAGTCTCCATAGAAAAGGTAACCACTAATAAACCTGACCACAGACATAAAAACCAGGGTATATCCTAATATAATTCTCAGACTTTGTGATCAGTATCTCTGAATGGCCCCCCATGGAGTCTCCTAAAAATGAAAAAGTTTATTCCCATCCCATTTATTTTGAAATTTCCTTTTTTTTTTAAACTTCAGAATATTACAGGAGTACATGTGTTTTTATTACATAATCTGTTTTTTTACATTTCAGGTCAAAGTGATAAGTGTGTCCTTCACCCAGAATGTGTGCATTATACCTGTTACAGGTGAATGAACCCAACTCTTCCTTCCCCCTCCCACCTACTTGATTCCCATTGAGTTTTACTTCCATATATGTATATAAGTGACATTTCTTATTTACTACCTTGTTTTAATTAAAATAGTGGCTCTATGTGTAAGGGATTTTTCTTCCCAACAAAACTCAATAATTTCCAGTATGGAATGCTGCGGTATCTTTCCAGGAGCTCAGAGATCTTCTGAAGCTCCTTCTAAGTAAGAGTCATTCTCAGAGCTCACTGTAAATCTGCTATCTATATTTAAACTAGGATTTCAGAACTGTCTCTTGTCCAAAGGATGAAGTCATTTTCTTTTTCTGTGCTGTTAGATCACATCTAAATTATTTGTAATCAACTATATTGAGTAACTTGAGTCCTATCAGAAGCAATAATCATAAAGCAAAAAAAGCACCAACATTTTAGAAATCACAGTTCATTGATATAATGAACCCTCCCCAAAAGTTGATTTCATTGCTAAATGGTTTCCTTTCAAGATGCTGGGGATTTTTATCATGCTTATATTTAATGTCTATTTCTAGCTCCTTGATTGCAAACAGCATCTGCTAATGGTCATGTATTTCTTTTTATATGTAATGAACAGACACAACTGAACACTTGGGTGGTGAAAATTTAGCCCATTTTTTCTAACCCAACTGCCAACTGCAGAAATGGTAGGGTGAGCTCTTTAAAAAATGCTTTTTAGGCCAGCCAAGTAGCTCAG